CATCATCGGTTTTATGACATGGAATAAAATGCGCCATTTTAGAGAAGCGATCAACAACCACAAAGATAGAATCCTTACCGGCCCTAGTCCTAGGCAATCCTACCACAAAATCCATAGATATATCATTCCAAGGATGCAAAGGAATAGGTAAAGGGGTATACAAACCGTGGGGTTGAACCTTAGCCTTAGCTTGCTTACAAGTCGCGCAACGTTCACAAAGTCGCTCGACATCTCTTTTCATGTGTGGCCAATGGAAGTGTTTTTCCATTACCTTGTACGTCTTAGCCACTCCAAAGTGTCCCATTAAACCACCTCCATGAGCTTCCATTAGAATCAATTCTCGCAAAGAAGAGTGAGGCACACAAAGTCTATTATCATAGAATAAATACCCATCATGCCGATAATATTTTCCAAACGCAAACTTTTCACAAGATTGAAATATTTTGCTAAAATCAGAATCATTAGCATACAAGTCTTTTATTTGCTCAAAACCCAACAATCTTGCATCCAAAGAAGTAAGCAAAACATACCTCCGAGATAATGCGTCGGCTACAACATTATCTTTACCTTTTTTGTACTTAATCACGTATGGAAAAGTTTCTATGAATTCAACCCACCGTGCATGACGTTTGTTGAGCTTTTGTTGACCCTTTATGTGCTTGAGAGACTCGTGGTCGGTATGAATGACGAACTCTTTCGGCCATAGATAGTGTTGCCACGTTTCTAGTGCTCAGACAAACGCGTAAAGCTCCTTGTCGTAAGTCGGATAGTTGAGTGTCGCTCCTCCTAGCTTCTCGCTAAAGTATGCTATGGGCTTATGATCCTGCATCAAAACAGCTCCAATACCTATCCCGGAGGCATCACACTCAATCTCAAAAGTTTTCATAAAATTAGGAAGAATTAAAACGGGAGAATTAGTGAGCTTCTCTTTCAAGGCTTGGAAGGCGTTTTCTTGTGCATCTTCCCACTTGAATCCAACGTCCTTCTTGATAACTTCCGTAAGCGGGGCGGCAATGGTGATGAAATCTTTGACAAATCGTCGGTAAAATCCCGCTAAACCGTGAAAGCTCCTTACTTCGCTCACATTCTTAGGGCTCGGCCATTCTCGAATCGCCTTGACCTTTTCTTCATCGACCTTGATTCCATCTGCACTTACAACAAAGCCTAGGAAAACAAGATTATCCGTGCAAAAGGTGCACTTCTTCAAGTTCGCATATAGCTTTTCCTTTCGAAGCAAATCCAAAACAAGTTTAAGATGCATGACATGATCTTCCAAGTTTTTGCTATAAACCAAGATGTCATCAAAATAAACAACAACAAATACTCCAATATGCTTCCTAAGGACATGATTCATCAATCTCATGAAAGTGCTAGGTGCATTTGTTAACCCAAACGGCATAACTAACCATTCATACAATCCTTGTTTCGTTTTAAAAGCCGTTTTCCATTCATCACCCTCCTTCATCCGGATTTGATGATAACCACTTTTAAGATCAATTTTTGAAAAGATGCTAGAACCATGCAATTCATCAAGCATATCATCTAATCGAGGAATAGGGTGGCGATACTTAACCGTGATATTATTGATGGCTCGGCAATCCACGCACATACGCCAACTTCCATCTTTCTTTGGTACAAGTAAAACCGGAACGGCACATGGACTCATGCTTTCTCGAATATGACCCTTGTCCATAAGCTCGTTCACTTGTTTCTCGAGTTCTTTTGTCTCGGTCGGGTTGGTGCGATAAGCTGGTCGGTTTGGTAGGACGGCTCCCAGGACGAAGTCAATTTGATGCTCGATCCCTCGGATGGGTGGTAAACCTATGGGATTATCTTCCGGAAAAACGTCCTTATATTCTTGCAAAACCAACTTGATCTTACTCGGTATCACCGGTTCGGGATTAGTTGAACAAGTAAGAGTTTCTTTGAAAACAAAGAGTAAACTATTTTTGTGATTTACCTTGTTCTTACCCTTGGTATCGTTTGGTTCGGTTGATTTGATGGCTCGTTGTTTCATACTTAGCTGGTCTAAATAGACTTCATGCGGAGTCATCGGGATGAGAGTTGTCTTTCGGCCATTGTGTTCGAAGGTCTGCCGGTTGGTGAAGCCATCGTGAAGAACTCTTTGATCCGATTGCCATGGTCGTCCGAGAAGAATGTGACTAGCGTCCATCGGTAGAATGTCACACATGATCTCATCTTGATACTTCCCAATTGAAAGAGGTACCTTGACTTGTTCTTTGACGGACATCTCACCCGTGTCATTGAGCCATTGGAGTGAATACGGTCTCGGGTGTTCAAGCACTTCTAAGCCAAGCTTCTCGACCATACTCCTGCTTGCAACGTTAGTACAACTTCCGCCATCGATAATCAAACTACATATCTTATCTTTGACGAGGCAACGTGTATGAAACAAATTTTCCCTTTGCGCTTGTTCCTCGGCTTTAGTTAGAACACTCAACGATCTTCTCGCAACAAGCAACTCTCCTTTAGTAGGGGCTTCCATATCTTCTTCTATTGAGCCTTCTTCCGAACGATCATCTTCGGATTCTACTTCGCCATTGTCTCTAAGAACCATGATCCTTTTGTTGGAACATTCGCTCGCGTAATGCCCAAGTCCTTGACACTTAAAGCATCGGATATCTCTAGCCCTCGTGATTACTTCCTTATCCTTTGCTTTTGGATCTAGATCGACCTTTGGCTTGACGAACGGCTTGTAATCCTTTTGATAACCGAACTTCTCTTCCTTTTGATAACTTGGCTTTCCAGGGCTGTAGCTGGTCTTGGTGTGACTTGATCGGGCGTTCCTTCTCTTGATTTGCTGCTCGAACATAACCGCTTTGTGAAGCATCTCCTCAAGCTCCACATAATGTTGAGTTTCTAAACGATCTTGGATTTTTCTGTTAAGACCTCCCATGGATCGAGACATGACCGCTTCTCCATCTTCTTGAAGATCGGCTCTTAACATAAGGGTTTCCATTTCCTTAAAGTACTCCTCGACGGTCTTGCTTCCTTGAACCAAATTCCTCAACCGCTGATGTAGTTCTTGATGATAGTAACTTGGCACAAATCTTTTTCGCATGACGGCTTTAAGCTGGTTCCATGTGTCGATCGGATAGTCTCCGGCACGTCTTCGGCTAGTGACAAGTTGATCCCACCAACTTAGGGCATAGTCGTAGAATTCAGTAGCCGCAATTTTAACCTTATTGCACTCAAGACTTTCTTGACAAAGAAAGACCAACTCAATTTTCTGCTCCCATTCCAAATAAGTATCCGGGTTGTTGGTTCCATGGAATGTGGGAATTTGGAGCTTTAGGCCTCCCAAAGGATCTCTAGGCGGTGCTCTCTCTCGGCGACGCCTACGTTGGCTGCTGTGGGAAGAGGCGTGACTATAGTAACTCCTTGCATCATCATTTTGCCTTGGTTCTTCATGCCGTGGTTCTTCTTTCCTTTGACGTTGATTTGGTTCCGGGTTGACTTGATGCAAGTGTAGAGCACCAATATTTTCCTAATCATCGTTGCCATGGCAGTGGTGACTGATTCCAAAATCCTCTTCTCAAGACTAGATGTGGATGACTCTTCTTCTTCTTCACTTGTCACCATTGTACCTGAAAAATCAAAACTTTAACAAGTAAACAGTCCAAAAACAGACAAATATAAACGGATCTGGAAAAATAGCAAATTGACTCTAAAAATTCCGAAATTAATTTTAGAAAACAATAGACTCGTCACTGGTTCTAATGCAATTGGTTTCACAATTTTTGAACAAGCCAATTATTTTATAAAATTCACGCAATATTGAAACAAAATCAGAAAAACAGAAATTTCGGGATGGAACTTCAAAACCTGGTTACAAAGTGGCTCTGATACCACATGGTAGATTCCTTGCCGTGAATCTATCCTCCAAGGACCACTTTAATGGTTTTGAAATGGAAATGGCGAGATTGATGGTGAATGATGGATAGACCTTGAACAAAACAGCGGAATGACGATGAACGAGAGTGATTACGAGATGGAGTGGATGCAGCGGATTGAAGGGGGGAATGAAATGTACTTCCAAGAGTGATGAGAAACTCTTAGACTACAAGCTTGAATCCAACTTAGATATTACACACTAAGAAGAAAACAAGTTGAAAAGATATTACACACTTTTCGGATCAAACAAGTAAAGAGAGAGTTTTAGAATAAAATGTTTGATGTTTTGCAAATGAGAGATACATGGAGTTTATATAGAGAAGGGAGGACCAAGGAGAGGAGATAAGAGAAGAGAAAACATGCAAGAGCATGCACAAGTGTCTTGTAAATTACACTCATGCAAGCTCATGCAAGAGTCTTGGAAATAACAACAAGTAATAAATGCAAAGTTTGAAGAGAAAAGGGAAAATGGGCCAAGGCTTTGTGAGTGGGCCTTGTACCACGAATTGGGCTGGTAAAGAGAGACTTGAAAGTGTTACTTAGGCCTCATTAAAAACCTTGTCAAGAAAACCCATTGGTACAAAACTTAACAAGGGAAAAAGAGTGCATAAGAAATACTTAACCCTTTACCGAACCTCTTGAGCCGTGATCACTATGAGTGAAGATTGAACGACGTCTTCTTGAGTCTTGTTTAGCTCCTTTAGAAGTCCATTGATGGCTTGGTTGAACTTCTTATTTCTTGATCTTGTTAGAAGACCCGCCGGGACGATCAATGCTTCCTCCGGTACAAGATGTTCTTCGTGTGGTTCAAGTGGATTGGCCATGATCTCATCAAACTGTTTGGGTATAAATGGTAGAACTGTCTGTGTTAGTGAAACTAGGTACAACTGGTAAAACTGTGTGTGTAAAACTGGTAGAACTGAGACAATATTACTGTTTTTTTGCAAGATTCCGACGACGAGACACCAATGCAGCCGTTAAGAATGTACTTCCCACCGAGTTAGTACAACAAGAAGATAAAGCTATCGACAAGGTGCCATATCCATGAAACTTTGTCTGTACTAGAAAAAGGGTTGGATATTCCTATGACGAAGAGCGAGAAGGAGTGGTTTGAAGACCATATGCAGTTCAAGCTCATATTCCACTTGAAAAAGGACCCAAACCACAAGGTTATGGGAATGTGGATGCTCCTTCTTCGTACGGCTTGCATAGAGAAAAAGAAGGAAGTTTGGTTCGTGGTAAACGGTGTCCCAATCCGGTATGGATTGAGAGAGCATCCTTTAATGTCGGGTTTGGATTGTCGTGTCTATCCGGAGGGTTACATGAACGCGGGAAGTGAAAGGTTCAAGAGGAAGCACTTCAGGAACCTTAGGACGGTAAGATTGGAAGACGTCAAGGAAAAACTACAGACGATGGTTCCGGATCGTACTCATGACAGGTTGAAGATGATGGTACTCTACTTTTTAGTGAGTATCCTTGTCGGGGACACCAAGAACTCGGGTAAGTTAGCAGCGCCCATAGATAGCCTATGTCTACGAGCGGTTAACGATCTGCAGTTTTGTGCTACCTTTCCTTGGGGAATGTACTCGTTTGAGCACATGATCAAGTCCATCTCGCACACTATGCGCCATTTTGATGGGGTGGTGGAGAAAGAAGAAGCAATTT